TTTGTGAGTAACAGATCTTATTTCTTTCTGGGTTCTCATTGCTTCAGCCTCTCCTAAGTCTGCTACTGTACGTGTCACCTCGCTTATGGGCTGCCCTAAGTGAGGGGAGAGATTGGCCACATGAGACCCAAAGAGGGATGTAGGAGCCATTAGAAGCACAATATTTCTCATCCCAGTAGTGAAAATCTCTTCATCTGGGCCATAATTCTCTGGACTACAGATGGCATTTCTTATGCCTAGCTCTAGTAACACCTGTTGGAGCTCAGCATACGTCTGCCATCTAACAGGAGAGGATACAGCACAAAATGCAGCCATAAGCTAATCAAAGAAGGAGTGGGATCTGATGTGCATTTTTTAATCACTGCCTCAAGGTGGGTTGCACTGTCAGGGAAGACAGCTTTCCCATCTCTGATCCTGACAGAACAATTCCATCCACCCCTAAGTCCTACAGATGCAGGAGCCAAGCTGATATTGACTCCGAGGGCTTCTGCCTAAACCAAGAGCCCAAATCCACCAGCTCAAACTGAGTATAGGGGCAGACCATAGAGTGCTCCACGACCTGGGGAGGGGGCTGCTCCTCTCCTTAGGGAACTTTCAGCTGCTGGGTCTTTATTTTCTTTACAACCACTAGGCGTGCTTTCAATACAGGAGGGGTCAGTGCTTCTGGCACCACCCCTTCATCCTTCCCCAGCTCCTCCACTTCTGGGGCTGAATTAGAGAGCCTTTCTCTCCCCTCCCCCAAGTGCCTCTTCTGCTACAACTTTTACCTTTTCTACTGTAAGCCTCGCAGCAATGTTAGCTCAATCTTTAGCAGCTCTCTTACCTTCACCTCAATACTTTGCAGCTGGTGTTCTAGTGACACCTCCACCTGTACTTCCCTCAGGAGTTCATCTTTTTCGTTGATGGCCTTTTCCTCCTTCAGAGCACCTGGCAGCACTGCTCTCTCATTCTGTAAGGAATCTTTTACCTCTTCAATGGCACCTTACTGCCGGCATTCCCCTGTTGCCTCCTCTCGCATTAATGCCATTTCCTTCTTCAGGGAATCCACAGAAGTTTGCAGCTCACATTCTTGTGCCACCATTTCTTGGGTCTTTTTCAGAAGCATGTCCTTCTCTTTGTAGACTTTTTTAATACTGTGAGAAGCAGCCAACCCACAGTCCCCACAGCCTAACACTCTGTTTCTCAAAAGACCTACTTACTATACCAAGGGCTTCCCCTACTGCCTCAGTTATCACCTCCACTTGCCACCAGTCCTGGGGTAGGGCCCAGTCCTCTAGGAGGCAAGCCACCTCAAGACTACATACCCATTGGGGGACAATCCACTGTCCCCCCATTTGCAGGGGTAGCACGATGAAGCACCCCTCCCATAAAGGCAGCCTGTCTTTTCCTTGGTCAACAATGAATCCCTGCCAACTATGGCAATTATCTTGCCAATGGGTTTCAACCCTGGGCAAGTTCACTATGGATTCAATGTGACAAAAGAAATTGACAGCAAAACGTTCTTTGGGGTGAAAGGGTTTATTACCCCGCTTGTTCTCCCAGCAGTAGGTTGAGCACTAGCATCTCTGCATCTGCCCAGAGCACTGGGCCAAGCTCTATATATAGTGCATTAATAGCTTATTGCCTAAAGGTATGGAAGTGGTACCCTAGCAACAGGCTAGTTACATCATTAGGTGATTTAAGTTCAGTGAGGATCCAGGCCATAGGAACACCAACTTCCCCACACTAAGCCCCTGGTCAAGGGACTAGGACTTTATGACAAAAAAGGAGTCTGGATATGGCAAGTGTAGTCATGTCAGGCTGCATGATGCCTTCAAATATGACACTACAGGGAAGTAGTAGTGAACGATGTCCCAGCCAGAGAAAGGTCATTGCCAACTAATCTGCATCCTCTGACATGTTAAGCAAAACCTAAATTTAAAACCGGCCTGAATATTAATTTTGGGCCAAAAAGCTGGGCATTATCCACAAAATGTCCCCCACATGGGGCTAGAGTAGACATTTGTTGCTTTCACTATGCGGTATCATTTTGATAGCAATACCTTGTGCTTGTTATGCAGAACCAAAATACATTTCAAATCATGTGGATCACTTGAGGCTCCATGCCAGACAGCAGAGGTGGAACCTAATGAAGGCCTGGCCAATCACACACTACTCACCCCACCACTATACTTTAGGTGTGTGGGGGTTTGTGGTGGTAACCAGGTTGGTCAAATCAGAATGAATCCCAGGAGTAGAACAGGAGTTGCTATGTCCTGCAGAGCTCTTTTCTGCCAGATTTCAACTGGGAGGATGTACTTTGGAGCTACAGAGAGCGGTCTTGCCACCTCCTATAGTCTGAAAATGCTGCTAATGGGGTCTGGAGCACTATATGCTCAGTTAGGGGTCACGTGAGTTTGCAGTGTGGGAGCTGATGGCTGAAGGAACAGCCTGTGGAACTAATCAGCCAGAAACAACTCAACGCAGAAAAATGAAAGAAACTGTCACCAGGTGCTTGCAGCTTCCCCTGGGTGCAAACTATCCCTCCCCTCCCATCACCACCTTGTAGTACTTCAGTCAAACCATTATCTTCCTTCTTTGCTGGTCCTGTTTTCCAAGTATTTGACCTGTAGTTTCCTCACAGGCTTTAAATAGCTATACTCTCTTGGAAAGGCTACCTCTCCTCCACTGAATTGTTTTTGCACCTTGTTCAAAATCAATTAACTGTATTTCTTCAGACTATTTCTGGGTTCATTGTTCTACATGACATCTTTCTTACATTTGATCTTTCAATTGTTGAACATGGTATATCTCTCCACTAACTTCCTTTCCATTATCAGTGTGGGGCACTTTTCTGCACAGAAATCCTGGACATGTTCTATTAGATTTGCCCCTGAGTATTTTAGTTTTCCTATTGAATGTAAATGTATTTTTAACTTTGGTGTGCACATGTTGACTACTTATATGCAGGAATACAACTGACTTTTATGTTTAGTTTGCATACGGTGACATTGATAAATTCAATTAAGTTCTAAGAAAAACTTCTAATGGTATAAAAGGCTGAAATTAAAATTCAATATTAAGAGGCTGCTGTGGCATCTGGCAAAATCAAGTCACCTCAAATGGCCTAACTGCATGTTCCCTACCCCTTCTTATCCCACCAATAAGTTCTCTTTGCCAAATAACCCTTCTGATCACAGACCAGACACAGTGCTTGCTTCTTCCCATGTAGCAGGCTTCAGTTCTCTATCAGCCAAGTGAATTATTCAGGAAAGCTCATTGCACACTCCTGCAGCAATAGCAGGGTCTCTGTTGCTTCTGCAACCTCTTGTTACTACAACGTCCACCTCCCAAGCTAGTTTGTTCACCCTTTTTCCAAATGCAGTCCTGGTGTACCACTGCATGATGTGTGGCATGCTCTTCCCATGGGCTGTAAGAATATGTGATAAACTGATAAACTGTCGTCAATCACATCTGTCCAGTGATGAGTGTCCTGTGTTCAGCTGTCCCTGTATGTCTGGAGCAGTAATCTCATCAGGGGAGTGAACCTGAGGTGAATAAAACAATTAGCATCACAAACTGGATGGCCCAGGCTCAGCTGAGGACACCTGCTTGGCTTTAACTAACTGCTCCTTTGCTGACTGACTGCTTTCATTAGGCAGCAGTTACTATCTGGGATGTAACTGAGGATCACCAGTTTGTGCATTAGCACATGTTATTTTATCTGAAATGGATGTCCCCATCAGATGCTGCCCTCTGGTCACATTCTTACCAACATGGCAAGAATTACTGTTGACTGTATCCAGAAGTAAGGTGCCCCTGCACTCCCACTGAGGACAGGGACAATACAATATCCTCCCTAACTGGTGGGCGCTTCAGTTCCCCACATGGGTGTCGGGTTCACGCTCTTGGTCACTTTGTCTAACCTGATGACCATCACTGGCTGCTTTGGGCAGCCAGGCAGCCACTGTTTGGAAAAGTGTGCCCCTCAGCCCAGTCCTGAGTATGACTCCTTCTCTTTGTGCTAAGAAAGAGGGCCACAACCCCAGGAAGATTTAAGATCGTCTCCCTGGCTGCCTCTGCACTCATTGTGATGACAGCAGCCAGGCACTGAGTCACCTGTCCCCTGTGAAGCTGCTTTCCTTGGTGATGTCTTGTGCTCACCTGACACCTAAGAGTTGAGGCAGGGGTGCAGGAGTTACTCCCCCTATATCCAGGTACTCTTTATTTTGGTTGGTTCGTCATTGGATATACATGGGGGATATGGGAGTATCTTTTCACCCTGCTGGTATTTCTCTTTTTTCTCCTCAAGAGAGTCTCAAATCAGTACCATCACGCATAGGCACTCCCATGGCAATGGCTGTATGGTTTAAGGATCCCAGGCTTATGTCAGCTGTGAATAAACACCCTCACTGTGCACAAGGGGTGACATGGGTGCTTTCTCAGAAACCTGAAGATTGTGATTTTGTGCCACACAATAAATACAGCACAGTTGGTGCAGAGGAAAGACACAGGGCCTGTAACCCAGAAGTTGATGGATCAAAACCATCTTTACCTGCAGCCCCACATTCTACGCTGCGTGAATGTTTCCCCAGCCCGCTTTCTGTACAAATGCCCTCAGGACATTTTGTTCCCAGCCACGTGAAGCCATGGGGTTTTGCTTCTGTTCCTACCCAATCATATGTGGTACAGACCCTCAGGAAGGCTGTGGGGACAGGGAACAGGTGGCAGGCCCCAGAGGCGACTCTCCTCTGCATCTGTGGGATGCCAGTCGGTTTCTCCAGTGCTGAGGCCCACAGCCAGTAAGATCACTTTGTCCATGGCTGCAGTGGGTTTCAAACCCCTAGGTCCCAAAATTAGGCCTCTGCTGTGATGGGAAGCAACAACGCTACACAAAGCCCACGTGCTGAGGGGGTTTGGATGGGGAGGGAAGTTGAACACTGCATTCCCCTCCCCACTCTTCATTTTTCTCATCAGTGCCTTCTCCTCTGAATGGACACATTTGACCTTTTTACCCACAGCGTACCTAAACTCTTCTGCTCTCACACAGTCTTCGCAGACAGGATCACAACTGCATCTGCCTTTCTTCAGGAATACAGGTATGACTTTGCATTTATGAAATTCTCCTTTGAGGACATTTGTTTCATATACTTGTTAAGTACACCAATGTCCAGTATGTTCTAGTACTTTTTGGGTTTTACAGGAAACATATTTCTTCTTTACAAATTTTACTTAAGCCCATTTATGGTGATGCTTATAAATTAGCCAGCCTTGACTGTGGCCCCACCGACAGAAGGCTCTAGAATGTGTTCAAATGAAAATCAGCAGGCACTCCTAGTAGTGCCCTCAGACACTTGCCCAGGAAAGAGGTTTTAGCAACCTCTTCTCATGCTTCCTGGAGTCTCTGGACCATAAATGATGTCTGTAAGCTGTCCACTGGCCTCTCGTGCAAGTAATGCCTTCCTTGGCCCTGCATTATATACTGTTAGAGCAGCAACTGCAGTGCATGCACTGGCATCATCGGGAAATAGTATCTTTCACACTCCCTAAGCCTCTGAACCCAGCTGTCCTTTATGACTTGGGTCATGGAAGTAGCTCAAGATGGGTACCAAGGCCTCTTTGCTACAGGATGGAGTCAAATCTGGGCCCTTTGGCATGTCCTACCTGCAGGTGAGGGTGGCCTCTCCTGTCATCTGTCCATCTGCAGATGCCGTGATACTGGCAGATGTCACCCACCCCACTGAACGCCTTGGCTACCTGGGGACGCCTTTGGGATCCACTGACGGAACATCAGTGGGAGTTCATATACTTTATGGTTTTCACTACCACCCCTCCCTCCTGGTCAAGGACCAACTTCACTTTTGAGGGAAGAACTTTTCCTGCTCCCTAAAAGTCTTGGTCATCAGCAAGTTATAAATGGATGTCAAGGCATCAAACAATGCATCTTGTACTTATATACTGTTCACCTTTTATCTTACACAAGGAGTGTACACTTGCGTCCTTTACACTTTTTGGACATTAACACAAGCTGATGTTTTTCTTACCCAAGGTACAGTAAGTACCTGCTCCTTGTAAAAACATAAAGCCTGACAGACAACATTTGAAGTGTCCTTTGCCCACAGCCTCCAGTCCCACCCAAGCCTGCTTCTTCCTCAACAAGCATCCACCTTGACAAACACTTTTAAACTGCATAAAATTAGGACCTTTTGCAAAAGGCCATTTGGTGGTAAGGTGCACACACACACACACAGTGCCTTGGTTTTCTTTAAAGTACTGTCACGTCTCTGGATTGAGAACGTATCTATGACTTCAAAGGTCTCATCAGCACAACTCTGGCACTCTTGTCGGGTTCCTTTGTACGTCATCCAGCACTTCCTGCTGGACCTCATTATGTTTCTTCATCTCTTCGACTTGCTTGTCCATGCGCTTCATTCAAAAGTCCTTGTAATGAGCTCAGTTTCCTTCAAGACGGTCTGCCTTTCCCATTCACTCGGCCAGTACCACCTTCGAGTAGGCTAGGTCTTGAGCATACTGCTTTCCTCGTTTTTGTGAGGTGGCAAGCTGGGACATGGTTTCCTCTTTCTGCTTGGTGACAGCATCCAACCGGTCCATTCAACTCTACCTGCAAAGCGGCTTTCTGGCTGACCTTTTTCATCACCCTAGCCGATGACAGTAACTTTTCTTCCAATGCTGTCACTTTTGTTCTTAGTTTAGCGGCTTTCTGTTCTGCCACCACAGCTTCTCTGTCATGGGCATCTTCGAGTTCTAAACCGCAGGTACGCGATCTCTCCAGCTCCCGGGTTAAGTGTGATTCTTTGTCACGTAAAACGTTGAACTTCATTCCATTAGGCACAGTTTTCCATTTGTTTCTGTCACAGTACCAATGTAACTTCATGCCTCTCCTGCTGAAACAGAACCGTCTTTCCCTGCAGTGATGTCACTGCATTGAAAAGCTGACTGAATTCCCTGGTCTGGCCCTGTTCTCTGTCTTTCAATCGCTGCTCACAAGCAAAAGCCTTCTCCTCCTTCATGGCAACATACTGGAAATCCTTGTCTCCTCACGTCATAGAAAGCCGCATATTGGTCTCCTGTAGTGCTTGATTTTCAGTTTCCTTCTCCTGAGATGTTTCTACTAGTTTTTCATTGTCCTCTTTTAGTTGACACACATCATTTTCAAAACCCGATACTCTCTCCTTTAGGTTTTTTACTGCCTGTCTCAAAAGTTCATTTTCATCCACTTCATTAGTGGATGAAATTTTCATTTAAATATTCATTTAAAGAAAGTAACCCATCGCTTTTTGCTTTGCTTAGGGGCTCCTTTTCCTCAGGTGAGTTTTGCAAAACATGTTGTTTCTCCTTGAGCTGCTTTATTTCTGAGTCATTTTGCTCATGGTGTTGGCTTTCTAGTTGAGAGGTCGCAGCAACTGAATCAGACAATCTCTGATTCTCTTCCTGGAGAGCTCTAATTGTTGCTTCTTTTTCCTATGTTGATTTTTCTTGGCTCTTGTACCTTTTCTTGGGGCAACTTAGAAGACTCACTCAATATATCAGGTGAGTGGTCTTAAAGGAGTCTGTTGGCTCTGAAGAAAGCAATCTGGTAGAGTGCTCTAGTGAAAGAATGTCAAGTTGACCTAAGAGAAGATCACTAGCATAACAAAGCTGCCCTATGCCAAGTTGAATTTGTGATAATTCCACCTTGAAATTCTAGAGTTTGCATTCCCATCATCATTTTGGACCAGGTCAGTGCCGCTCATCAGTAGTTTAGAATAATCACTCTCAGGGAAAGTGTGTGCCTGAAGTTCTCCAAGGTCCTTCTGACATTGAGCTGACTCACTCTTCAGATTACGTGCCGTGGTCAGCATGTGCTGTTTCCACTCCTCTGTTCCCTTAACTTGCTGTTTGAACTTATCACGTTCCTGTAGAAGTTCCCCAAACTGATTCATATGAACACCTCTAAGCTCGTTACCAGTGTTGCAAGTTTGCAAAATTGTCAATAAAGTCTGACATTTCTGACTCAGTGCATGAACTTCAACGTCTTTTTCTCGAATGATGTGTGATAAATTGTGTATTGTTTCGTTAAACACATCTTGGTCACAATGTTCAAGTCAAGTGGACAGTTTTTTATTTTCATCTTGCAGCTTCATTAGTTCTGCTTCTTTGGCAACAATTATATCCATCATGTTGTGCTTCTATCTTTTTAGACTATTTTCCCTCGTCTTCTTATTTAAAACAGCCAAGGCTTGTTGTCTTTACAAAGCATATGGTTCCAATTGCTGCTGAAGCCCCCCAGTATCTTGCATGTAGGAAGGTGAAGATATTCTGGTGTGCAAACCCTGTATTCTCCAAATCTTTTTGCCAGATAATCTGAGTGAGTTTAGCAATCTCATGTTTGGACAGCTGATCTATCTGTTCAGTTAATGGAATATTCTTTATCCTTTCCAAAGTTGAAAGTTTATTTTCCAATTCTTGTTCTTTTATTCCTTTTCCCAATCTTTTGGTTTCAGTTTTAGGTGAATAGTGCTTTTCACTTCCATTTTCTATATTAATACTTCGACTTTTTGTTACTTGAAAAACATCAGAATGTTCTGTTTGAATGTGCTGGCTTTTTTCAGGCAATTGGGGTTTGATTTGTTCTCCTGTGTTTTGCAAATTCTTCATTTCCTCATCTTTTGCTGAGAAGAGCTGAGTGTGTTTAGAATGCATTTGCCCATGGTGGTGTTTAAGATCATCCATGTCCTGTTTTTGTCCTTGTGGTGGTGTTTAAGATCATCCATGTCCTGTTTTTGTCCTTGTGAAGACTGAAGGAGTTGCATCTTACTCTGGTTTTGATCTTCAGTTTGTTTTGATGATTTTTCATTTTTTCCCCCATGGTTACCTTTTATCACATTCAGCTGAGATGTATCAGTACTAGTTCCATAATAATGTCCAGTGTTTTAGGGGCACCTCAGCTCTTTTCTCTCAGTTGTTTCGATTCTTTTTTCAGATGACTATTTTCTTCTTTTATGGAGGTGAGACTTGTGTCTTTTCCCCTGTGATTTGCTGTAAAATTTCAGTTTTTCTTAAGGTTGGGGTACACTTATTTTATTGCTCCTGCAGCTCTGAATTTAATTCTTCAACAAAAATTTCTTTCTCTTTTAGCAGTTGTGCTAACTGCTTCTGCTCTTCTAAACTACATGACAAAATTTCCTTAGTTTCTTTGTGGTCAGCATCAATCTGCTCTACATTCTTTTTGAGCTCTGAAATTTCAAAGTCTTTCTCTTGTCTGAGTTTAATTAAGCACTCACGCTCCTGCTGTACGGGAGAGCTGTCCAGCTTACATGTATTTGACAATTCTTTAATAGTTTGCTCATACTTGTTTGTTTCTCCCAACAGTTTCTTCTGTCTGACACAATTGTGCCTATAACTGTCCTTTTTCCATTTTTAAAGCTTCCATAATAGTGTATTTTTCTAGAGAATTCTGTGAGCAGCAATAACTTCTGCCCACCGATGTCTTACATCTTGAAGCTCCCAAACCGAATTTTCATTTTCCGTTTGGAGATCCAAATCAACTTTGTTTAAATTGTCACTGACCTCTTACATTTCTGGAATAGTTTTTATTTAGTTTCTAACTTGAGCTTCCTTTTCTTTAAGTATGTAATCTGTAAAATTACTGCCAGAGTTTTGATTAAGAGACAGAGTTAGCTCATTCTTGATTCCAGAAAGCTTGTTCCATTTAGTATGTTCTTGAAAAGCAGAGTTCTCCTTCTGGAGGTTTAAATTATATTTCTGTGCCTGATGTAGCTGATCTACTAAATCTTCTGTTTTTACCTCAAGCTTCTGCTGGACTAAATGCAGATCATGAACAGCCGATTCACTTTGAATTATCTTCTCTTTTTGTGCATCTAGCTCTTTGGTCATGTTCATTTTATCAATTATGGGTTGACAAACTCTCCCTTTTTCATCATCTAACTCTTGTTTTAGTTTACTAATGATGCTGTGTCTTTCATTTTGTTGTTTTGATAGGCGATCTTTCATCAAAACCACGTGCTTTGTAGCTTCTTGGTTCTGTTGGCCTGACCCTCCTAACTCAGCTGTCTGTAATTCCTTTTCAGTGAGACTG